CCCATAAAACAGATGATGATCTAGTGCCATCATTTCAACGACTGGCCGCCAGAGCATCGACTGAATTAGTTTACTTAAAAGTAACTCGTTATAAAAGAGTAAATTTATATGTGCAAAGGAAAATTTGCTGCTAAAGTTCAAAATAGGATAATGTAACAAAAACTTTTTTTTTTGCATGTAAGCTTTAGTATTTTGCACATGCCATTTAATAGAAACGAGTGCCCCACATAGCCTTGGAATAGTAACAGTAAAACAATAGATGGTAGTGAAACGCGAAGTTGGCAAACATTATCGGTTTTGCACTAATAAATGTTTATCAGTTTCAAACAATTACAACGCGTCTATGTCACAATGCACATCCTTTCCCTTCACTTTCACTATCCTTAGAGTGTCACGACATTTCAATATAAACTGACGCGTGAAACCTTAATGTCAACTTATACAGCTCAAAATCGTTTGTAGCCATGTTAGGTATGGCACGCATTTGTCAAATTGGCTCTTATCGTGTAGAATTATCTTGCGGTTTTGGTTATAGAAAGTTCATATTTGAGTTACTGATGTCACTGTAGTGGAATTTACTGCAAATTGTGCACTTTACGACTATGTGAGTTGCATGCTTATTTTTCTGGAATGGAGGTTTTTTTTTGTGGAATGGAGTAGTCAAATGAAAAGACTAAATAAAGGAAAGTTAGTACATATTATTTTCTAATATCTATAAATTAATTAAAATCCTCTGCCCAGTTGTCAGACTGGATTAAATGCAGTATTTTTTTTACACTTACCCTATTGAAATTCAAAGTTTTTCTCCCTACCACCCATTCTAAACAGCTTTAGCTGTGGAGGAGATTGGGTCAAAAACGTCTACCACAATCTTTCTAAGTTTTTGTTGACATCGTAACAAAAGCAGCTTTTCTACCTGCATATTTTTTGGATTTCTAAAGAAATAAGATACTTTAAAATATAGAACTACAATAAAGATATAAGTTTTTTTTTCAAACAAATTAATCGGTAAACATCGAGGCTCCTTGAAAATGTCATCAAATAACATACAACGGAAAAATTTTAAAACAAGATTTTCAAAGATTTACCCAAAAATACGGATAACCACTGACATACTTCGCCCCACATGATGTTCCGGTAAACCACAACATTCTTCCAGGAATTAATGAGTCATTGTGATTTTAAATACAGTTCATGTGTTGAATGCTTTGGAAAGGAAGCGTATGTCAGAACTTATAAATTGATACAAGGGAAAAAGGAGAAAAATTTGGTAATAATAAACGATTTCGAAATATATACGTGCTTCGAGACACATGCTTATCCACAGTGGGCTTGCATGATAGGTTATATTCCGACCTAAGTGCTCCATAGAACCCCATGGAAAGTCCAAAAAAAAAGGGAAGTCTTGGCATTGGGGCCATTAGAAGGATGATGATGGTACAAGTATATATCTGCTCGTAAAACTTCTACTCATAAATGTATTTGCGTCTTTATACTTTATTTTATAAGAATTAATCCACAGATAAAACGCATACCCAAAACAACAGTAGCAAACGAGTTATCCAAACATTATCAACAATATGTAAGTGTGTCATATTTCTTCCTCAATATATTTTGAATTCAGTTTATGGCGACGCTACTAATCAGGCATAGTGCAAGAGACAGGTTGCAACTGATAACCCAAACTCGAAAGTCGAACACGATAACGCTAGCCGCGGTGCCTAGCGCTCCTCGTCGTTAGATAAACATATGGGTCGCTGAACCGACCTAGTTTCGGCACGCACAAGTGTGCGAGTTTTCGTAAAAAAACGACGGTCAAGTGCGGTGGTTGTAATGATATTGAGGTTCCGTGTTGCTCTATGTTTATTTACCAATAAAACTTGAAGAAAACCCTTAAACTAACTCGAAAAAAAGTCATTATACAGTTTAAATTATATAAAGTTCAGAAAATCAGTTATTTGACAAAATAAAACTTAACTAAAATGTTAAATGTTTTTGTTAAAATACAATTGGGTTGCGTTGTTTGTATCTTAAAATCAACTAAACTATCTCCAAAATGGAGCTGCAATGTTATTCTTTGGCAAGTACCTATATAAAAGTACCAAACCTTTAAGAATGAGAAGATACTGCAGTCTTTGGGTCATTGTTAACGTCATTGGTTATTTCTGATCTTAATCTGCGTTTGTTTGTATTGAGGCACCTGTTAAATTATTTTTGCTTTGTTCTGATTTTAAGAGAGGTAGGTCATACTGGACCTTCCGCTTGTATTGGAGCGCCCGTCTGGGAAAGTAACCTCAACCTTACAGAAGATCACAGCAAAATAAAACTACCTTTTGGTGGTTTCAAGGTTCCACGGGGTCAGGGTAGGCAATGTCGCGAATGATATTTTTTTTATCACAAGCGCTCAGTGGTCATATGCTTGTTTGCCACCTTTTTAATACAAAAAGACAGTTCCATTAAATTACAATCTAGTTTCTTCGTAATCTTAGATATTGAGATTTTTGTTATAAGATACTAATTAATGATTTATAGATTAGATATTTATCATTCATAAAGAACCCCAAATTAAAAATGTACATGAGGACTTCAATCCGCACCTACTCACACACACGCACACACATAAAGTATTTGCAGAAACAACGAGCGCATCTAAAATTACTACAAACCACTTCTACTTCTGCTTGTCTCATTATCACAATGTTTGATATTTTTGATTTGACTTATGTACGATGTTTGCACAAACTATGAAAAACGTTCATAATTTAGCAAAATAGTGCGAATTGTTTTAAAATTTTCAACAATTAAAAAACAAAAGGTTTTCAACAATTCTTGGATTATTCGCAAGCACCAGTGATTTTACATAACCAAAAAAAAATAACGGGCATTAAATCACTTGAACTTGTGAACCATGTCTTATCCCTGAATCTTGAGATCAGAACCCGTTAAATTACTCTTTCAATGAATTGACAGTTTCTCTGGCAATATGGCAGATGACGCTACCCTGCTGAAACCAAATATTCCTTAGATCAATTTATTTCAATTGTGGACAAACAAATCTGAATTATGATCCAGTGATGATCACCGATTCACAATTTAGGTAGCACCAACCTCTTGAGGCCCTAAGCCAAAAGATAGGTACTCTTTCTGAATACAACGGCCTTTCATGAATCTGTTATGGATTCCAAAGTCCAATCCAGTAGTTTAATATTATTTCACCATTTGACGAATAGTGTTCTCCTTAAGACGGTTATGTTAACCAGGAGTTTCCCATAACGCACGACACGCTTGATGAATTGAACTACCGTTTTGACAATACTTTTTACTAAATTCATTGCGCTGCTCAACTGTATAGCGACAGGTATAATAAATGACAAACTTTTGATAATGTATCTATTGAACAATTTGCACCAATAGACGAATTAATATGTCCACCATAGGCTGACAAGATACCCTGTTCTTATCGGAAAACCCTGTATAAATATTATGTAACTTTAAGTACGCAACAATATAGCATAATTGTCAAGCCAGTCTGGTGCATTTGTTTTGTGCAAATGCGTCACACAGGCACAGTCAGAGATATCCTTCGCGAGTTGAAATATAACTATGATATCATCGATCCGGGAGCCATTAAAAATATTCAACGATTCGATAGCACATCGTTTTGGCATATTTTTGCGCTTGCTCTAACCGTTCTCATATTTGAACTTTTTAATCCAGATGTAGCAAAATATTTCGTTTAACCCATATTATGATTGAAGACTTTAGACTTTAGACTTTAGATTGGTTCTTTGCTATTTTTACTGATATTGTAGTGAATTCCGGAGACCAGTGTAGTGAATATCATTGGTGCTCAAAGATTAGTGTTATACCGGGAACGCTTACATTGCAAGCCTAGGTATTGGTAATCTTTCATTGAAGGAACACAAAAAGATTCAGATTTCGGCTATAGCTACCTACACAATGAGGATAATTGAAAATATGATAGCGCGTAGTTAATATATACATTATGCGATCTATTGCAAACGTGCATTATTTTGTTTTCCAATTTGGTATACCTACATAGATAACGATCAATTCGTAATCGTTTGTTATGGCAAGGCAAAACATTAATGTCGATTTGCATTGCACGTTTGTAATAAAAGCCTCCATTCACAGAGGGCGACACTTACGTCGCTTAGATAAAATACAATATGGCGGCGGCTGGTATCTACAATTTTGTAAATAACTTTTGTATTGTGTATTTTTTTATTTAATACGAAATGTACGCACAAAATTGAATTGAAAAAGTTATTTTATTTGTGTTCCTTGATTATAATTACCAAATACTTAATAAATAAGGCGGTCTTAGCCCAGTGGGTGAATGATTTGCTGTCAAACCAAACGGATCGAGTAAACTACGGACGTTAACCTATTTGAAACACAAGAACTTAGACTACATTAAGTAGATTAATTAATATTTAATTTTATAACATTGGTGAGCTCTTTATAATAGATCTATAAATATCAAACATAGACGAGTAGTTTTTGAGCAAACAACACAAAGAGATACGTTCAATATAAAAGAATGTACATACAAATATGCAACAAAAAATAATAGAAACAGTTACACTTAAGAAAGCACACTATTTATAAGTGAAAGTACCTACTTCTCCAAGTTTATCTGATCAAATAGATCACATTAGTACTTACTTACTGTAGCACAGAAGATAAGCGTTGTTTATTTTATTACAGGAATGTAAATGTAGATCCATTATAAAATATTATTAGCCATCATTAGCATAAATACATCTTGTGTGTGTAAAGAAGTAACAGAATATATGGGTGATATTATTAATTCAATATCATATCTTTAGAATAAAATATGTTTCTACGTGCGGTTGTGTATAGCCATCTAATAATAATCGGATGAATGGAACGACGCGACTGCCAAGTGCATGCCATTGTGAAAATAAAATAGAGTCAATAAAAAGCCGTACAAGACGTACACATCTCGTTCTCACCATAAAGCATTTTGTTCAAAGGCCCCTGCGGCGCGGCCACTCTTATCGTGTTAGAGTCCATTCGATAAGTTGCCGGGAAGCGGCTCTACTCAGTCGTTTTCATAGAACAGTTCGTCACTGAAACGTGTCATAAGAGGAGCGTATCACTCAGTGGTTACGGAGCGAGCTATCAGCGGAGCGGCAGTCGCGCGGTTCTCGGTTGGCGCCCGCACGGAAGTAGGTTAGTTACTAAAGTTTTGTTTGCGTGAGGCTGCGTCGCGGTGCACTGACTAAGCGCGCCGCGCGGCGTCGCTCGCCCGGCCGCGCGCCCCGCGCCGCGCATGCCAATCGCCCGCGCATCTTTGCTCTTTCACTTTCCGACCGCCCGCCCTCCGCTCCTGTGAGCCTCCGGGATCAACACGGCCATAATATAGCTCCGTTCATTCAAGTTTTCATCACCATGTTTACAACCGAAAAATACACCGGTTATGATCAGTTACAGTCTAATGATACTTATGAATACGGATTAGTTTTGAGTATTGTTTGTATGATGAGCGGTGTATATTTGTTACTCTATTTATCTCATTTAAATATGTTTTATCACCAACAATGTGGGAAAACCGCAAAGGTGAAAAAAAAAATAGAAAAATCAATAGCCTTCTTTTTTTAAATTTCAATTTTCATTTCATGCATTTTCATCGTCAACGATACCTTGTCAAGGATTACAACCGGCCATAGCGATTCCGAGCGACGCGATATAAGCGCGCAGCGGCATTGAAATTTTGAGAATTTTCGAGTAAACATACATAGGCAATAGTGGCCGGATAGTGGTACATCGCACGCATTCGGCCAACGCTCATTGTCGGTGGTTATGTAAGGCGGAGGCCGCGTCGATGCTGCTCCGAGTCAACGAACGGCATTGACACGCGGCCCGCCCGCGCGCGCTCGCCCCGCGGTGCCCCTCGCCGCTGCTGAAACCAGCAGCTGCGAAATTGGGTCACGAGCTCCAAGCCACCGCACGTACTACTGACCAACCTAATCAGACCTATGACGTTTCGCACAATTAGTCCCGTGGCAGGTCGCACTGGGGCTCTAACAAGTTGGTGCCGCGCGTGCAAGTCGACAAACGAAACGTACCTGTAACTTCATTTGTTTGTTGTCAAAAATAGTTGTTCCTTATTCAATCCTACTAGAATTTATTTCGCATTTGTTTTTGTATAGAATACTTAACTGCCTAGTTTTAAAAAAAACATATTTTTTTGAGTTTTCAGGTCTCTTCGCCAGAGTTAATAGCATATTAAAGTTTATACATACATACAAACTAAAACATTGAATTTTCGTGTTGTTTGTAATAATATATTTTTCTACGTACTTATAAAACACAATATAAGAGTCTTTTTTATATAAATAACTTGCGTTATTAAAACTAAAACACGTAAACAACAGCTCTCATAGTTTCTAATATCAATGCATGAAAACGGAGAAGGAAAACAGCGGTGCGCCGGCATCGAACGCTCGAGTCAACGAACGTCATTGAAGCCCTGTAACAGGGCATTATCAGTCTTGTTTATAGCATGCTAGAGTTCGTAATCTCTCGCACACTGCGTTCAACCTAGCCTTGGCTCTTACTGGCCTGGCTGACTTAGACATTCTATCTACTTTTACAAGTACATGAGCGAAGGCTCCAGCTCTATTTGGTACCTACACTTAATGCGCTTAGGTGCATTCAATCGATCGTATACATCAACCCTTAGCAACAACATTCTCCTAGAACCATTGATTAAGCCTACTCTGAACTAAAAAACTATTGTTTTACACACTGCTAACACTTTACCTAGAAATAAACTTACCTAAGTGAAAAGGAGAAATTTTTTTTCAACATTAACAAATGAATAAGTATCACCTCACCCAAGTGTTTTATGTTGTAACGAAACTAGTATATCAAAAGAGCCAAATGTGAAAATGCAAAACTAAACTTTTCTAATGTTAACTGACATCAACTGAAGAACTACTAGAAAACTTTTTGGCGTGTTTACTCGAAGCGTGTTACGCCCTTACTCGTTATGTCGTAACGCAACAGATTAAGTTATGTAACGGCTTGTAAAAGAAGTCACTAAACTAAGTGAAATGTTGGAATTGTACCTTTATTATAAAAAAAAATAATTATTATGGTAATAGCACTTTTTTATGTTATAATGGTGGCAAAAATACGTACCCGCCTGATAGTAAATTGTTACTCGCATCGTTGTCTACCCTGATCCATTCCCCTACCCCGTGGAGCTCCGAAGCCTTACTTATATACAGAAACACAATACCACCGAAAATAGTGTTATTTTACTGTGATCTTCTGTAAGGAGGAAGTCACCTCCCCAGACGGGCGCTCCAATTCGAGCGGGAAATCCGCAATACCCTACCTCTCTTAAAATAACACATACGTAGAACAAACGGATAAATTAGATTGCATTTACATTCAAAGCTGACTATTCAAGGTCAAGTAAATATTATCTATCTGTTATTGCAACTCCAATAGTCTACAAAGATAATACTAAACGGCGAGGAAAATATCATTACTAAACAAGTTTACAGTAATACAGACCCTGGCCCTGGTTCAAATTCGTAGAACTATAGTTGAGACGTTGAATTTGCAATAACACCAACTAGTTGCCCAACCTAGACCTATCTCAATGCAAATGATCTGCTTTGTCATGTTGAGCGGTAAACTGGACGAGATGTAGTAATCATTCTTTCCACATATTCATACAATAATTTAATTTGTATTGTTTAATTTATCAACGGCTTTAATTAAATAAAACACTTTTTTAATATTTGAGGAGCTGGCGAACAAAACGGTATAATTAAGCATCTGGTCAAACTATTTTTTTTACAGTTCGGAGGTTTCGAGCCCGTTGAATTTGAATCTCATTTTTTTTTAAATTTTTAATCAAAACCGCCTAAAACAGTATTAAAATTACTTAATTTATAAATTATAAACCATGCCAAACTCACTGGAGGTGTGTCATTCACTATTATACAGCTCCTGAAAATTTTAATTTTTGTGTAATTATACCGTTTCGTTCGCCAGCCCCTCATTTTAAACCTAAATATCTCTATGTTTCGGATCCATTACAGGATCGGTTCCCAAGAGTATCTAAAGTAAGAGAACGGAGCCTGTATGAGCCTGAGCCAACGTAGAGATATATAGGTTAAAAGGCAGTTCAAATCCGTTGAAACAGTGTTTTATATAATGAGTGATGTGCATGAAACATAAGAAATAAATACCGACTTTAATGTGTGAGAAATTGTAGATTTAGGTTTCTATATCTTCGAGGTCTCTTGGTTCATTTCCGGTCGGATATATGTATAAAACAACCCTTTTTCTATATTCTCAACAATAACAGTTTGAAAGAGAGAGATCAGTGAAATAGAGCTATTTTGTGAAACGTTTAATAATTTATTAAATGCTTGAAATTAAAAATATTCATGATCTACACCTTAATCAACTTTACAACCTGTATAACTATGTGTTATTCGTTTATTCGTTCTTCGTATTTGCTTGTAATATGCGATTCTTTCAGTATTAACCACGTAACGAAGGCATAAAAATAGCATCACCCATTATGTGCTTACCCACTCCTACTACACAGATCCTCCTGAACTCGCACATAAAGGAGTAGGGGACCAACCATTCAAGTATAAAGTGCTCAGGAGGCTACATAAGGGAGGTAAGTGCAGTACATGCAAGTATATAGCGAACCAAGGGTGCTATGTACACGCCCTACTTTCAGGGTGCAGGGTGAATGAACGTCATTGACCTACCTAGTACCTGCGCAGTGCTCCCCACCCGCGCCGCCGACGTCTGATAAATATAGACATCTCCTGGAATATGGCATTGAAATGAACTATACACAGATTGTGCGTGGAAACTGCATACGTCAAATGCGCGATCAATACCTTCTGGCTTCTGATTTTGGCTATACCTACCTAACACAAACACACACCTGGTGAAATGAAATATTTAGACAACGACAGCTGCGTGAAAATTTATGGAGATTTTCAGTAATATAATTATTATTATTATAATTCGTTTTGCTTTATCATATATTTATTATAGAAGTGTAGAGACTTTTACCTTTCCTCGTAGCGTTTTATTTTTATTAGAGAATAACAAAATAATGTTACAAGTGTAACCAAAGATCTTCTCCTAAGTAGGGCAATGGGTTTCCCATACACTATTTCATAAGTTTCACAGTAAGTTTTATTTTCGCGAAAGTAAGTAACCTCCAAGGTTCTCTTTATAAACATGATATTAAAATACATCAAATTCAGTGAGCAGTTTAGGCGTAAAAGAGTAATAGACAAACTGAAATAATTTCATATTTATAATACTAGATGGATGTGTAACACAAGTAAATAAAATGTTAATTATAGAAAAACATTATATATCTATATTGCCCTACTCAAAGAGCACTCAGACTTGTATGTACCTGTTAATAGATATTTAAATGAAAATCACTACAGGTACCACAAACGTCTAGTGCTATATAAGGAAATGTATGTCACATTTATTAATATCTGCCTCATACAGCTTTCTCTTTGAAGCTCAGAAAAAAAAACCGCAAGGGATAATAGGTGAGCCTTGTTCCCAACTTAATAAAAATATTTAACCTTTATGCTAGTTAATAAATACCTAAAACCACCAGTTTTGCTTAACAATCTGTATAACGTTAAAGAAAAGAGGGTAAGTTCCAGTATTACCTAAGGCCCATAAATCCCTAGGTCAATAGAGACCCTGTTTACGGCAACGAGTTTGCGAAGTACATTCTTTATCACTCAATCGCTCACAAAAGAAAAATAACAAGGATGAAAAATACTGGACAACTCAGTATAGCATCATAATATTACGTGCTATTACTACGGCTAATGACAGGCAGGGGTCAGTACTGTCAAGAACCTTTTTGCAAAGAATGCGTGGAGGTATTAAGCTGAAATTTATATCAAATACTCAGGTGTACTGCTCGGAGATGTGAAAAAATCAAATATCTAAGTCAACGCAATCAAAAGATACAGCCGTTATGCCGCAAATTTTCGAAACTCGCAAGGGAATCAAAGCCTACAGGGTACTTTCCGTGAACAGAATATTGAAATTTGGTACGAAGCAACGTCTTATAGCACGGATAAAGGAAAAATAGCGAAAACCGAAAATATTTAGTTACATCACATTTTTTTAATAAT